AGCGCAGTAAGCAGCGACTGCGCTTGGGCTGCGCTGCAATGTGGGCAATATTATGAGAATTTATTTGTTGAATAATTTCTTTTGTAGACGTATGATCTTAATGAAACTTTCAAAGCGTAATCATATGGCTAAAATGTGTGTACATTCCAAAGCACAAGTCTCTAGTACTTGAAATGCGTTTTTTACAAATTGGGGGCGAATGGGGCGTGGTATCCAAAATCTGTAAATTACAAAATCTTTGTATCCATTAACTTTATATACAACGCAAATTTTAAGTCTCCAGGTCTAAAAGTGTTCAAATTAGGCTGAAAAAACAAAGTCGATTTTTCGATTATTCTCGATAAAAAAGTTATCGGACAAGTTATCGAAAAAATAAAGCAAACTTGTACTGCCTATGGTATACACGAGTATGTATGCCAAATTTCAGCTCTCTAGCTCTTATATCTTCTGAGATCCTGACAGACAGACAGGGCTATATCGACTCAGCTCGTCGCCCTGATCAAGAATATATATACTTTATGGGGTTTGAGATGATTCCTTCTGCCTGTTACATACTTTTCACAAAACCATTATACCCTGATTTCCCATTTTCAATGGGTTCAGGGTATAACAAGTAAGAAGGCTCCAGTCGAAACTGCTCGACTAGGAGATACCCTGAACCCTCCAAGCTGATATTCTAATCATTCTGCACTTCTTCTATGAACACATACATACATATGCACTTATAAGCACGCGCTCTGCTAACTGCGCAGTAAGCAGCGGCTGCGCTTGGGCTGCGCTGCAATGTGCAACATTATGACAATTTATTTGTTGAATAATTTCTTTTGTAGATATACGATCTTAATGAAACTTTTAGAGCGTAATTATATGGTAAAAATGTGTGTACATTCCAAAGCACAAGTCTCTAGTACTTGAAATGCGTTTTTTACAAATTGGGGGCGAAGGGGGCGTGGTATCCAAAATCTGTAAATTACAAAATCTTTGTGTCCATTAACTCTATATACAACGCAAATTTGAAGTCTCTAGGTCTAAAAGTGTTCAAACTAGGCTGAAAAAACCAAGTCGATTTTTCGATTATTCTCGATAAAAAAGTTATCGGATGAGTTATCGAAAAAATAAAGCAAACTCGTACTGCCTATGGTATACACGAGTATGCATGCCAAATTTCAGCTCTCTAGCTCTTATATGTTCTGAGATCCTTTTGCTCATACGGACGGACGGACGGACGGACGGACGGACGGAGGGACGGAGGGACGGACGGACGGACGGACGGACAGACGGACAGGGCTATATCGAGTCAGCTCGTCGTCCTGATCAAGAATATATATACTTTATGGGGTCTGCGATGATTCCTTCTGCCTGTTACATACTTTTCACAAAACCATTATACCCTGATTTCCCATTTTCAATGGGTTCAGGGTATAAAAAGAAGTGAAAGTAATATTGCGTAATTTCGTTAATGCTTTGTTTTTATTACGTGTTTGAAGTTTCTGACATTTAGTAGGAGATGTTTGTGTTAGCGTTGATCCAGGGAAGGAAAGCGGTCACGCGGGTGAAGGCAGCTGGGTAGCCCAGCTGGCAGCCAGCAGCAGCACCAAAGGAGGTCACACCAACCAGGACCTTGCTGGCCTCGAGCACCAATGGGCCGCCAGAGTCACCGCTGCAGGTGGACTTGCCGCCGGTTGTGGCGATACAGATGTTGGATGAGGTGACAATGTTTGTGCCGTAAGTGGCGGCGCACTTAGTGTTTGAAATAACGGTGGCTGCGACATACTGCAGGTTGGTGGCAACAGCGTTGGAAGAGTCGCTGGTTAGGCCCCAGCCAGAAGCGATAACAGTGGAACCCTCATAGTTAGAATACGAGTTGGCAATGGCGGGTAACTTGACGACTTGAATCCTGCTGGAGAACGCAACAGCGGGTATCTTGATCAGGGAGATATCGTTCTTCAGGGTCTTGCTGTTCCAGCCGGAGTGAATAATAACGTCGGACTTGGGAACGGTCTGGCTGACCTCGGGTGAGGTGCGCACAGTAGCGCCCAGATAGACGGTTACAGACTGAATGCTAGAAACGTAATCAAAAATGAGCAACTGCATCCAATATATGACATCTATGCATATTTACCCTTCGGTGCAGTGAGCAGCGGTCAGTACCCAGGTGTTGCCAATCAGAGAGCCACCACACCAGGCGGAGGAGATTGGAGAAAGTTTTAGGGATAGTCCCACCTGGTATGGGAATTGGCCAACGCTGGCCTGCTGACCATTGGTGATGCGTCCTTCAATGTTGTCCAGAACTGGCATCACACGATAGCGATGCACCAGCTCGCTTTCGGGAAAAGCGGACGCGGCCACGGCCAAAGCAAGAATAATTAGGAACTTCATGATGTTGAGCTAGTTAAAACACAACTACCATTTATCCGCCAATCGGCGTCCTTTTATAGAAGCCCATCGAATATTTTTGGCCAAAACTAAGTGTTGCTCCATGTGTTTAGATAAGATATGTGCTCAGTACGGCACACGTCACATCTGCTCGCAGTCAATTCCAAGTCGAAGTATTATATTCTTTTCAAAACGCAGGCACAATAAATTTATTGGGCAGTCAATTAAATTTGTTTAGTCAATTACTTTGGATTTGTTGTAATCCAAATAAAGCAAATAAGTAGTATTCGTTTATTAGCTTAAACAGGGTCAGACATTTGAGAGTGCTCACTGTATATTGCAATGATGTGCATTAAATGGTCTTATATCTGATTCCCATCTATCTTATCGTAAGACCGTATCAGTTTCAATGCTAAGCTGACTGTTCCGTTGGTTGTGTAAAGTAAAGCCCTTAAGATTGATCATAAATATTTTAGTATATCTGTGATTTTAAAAGTCTTGTTGAATTTTTTGCTCTTTAAGTGCCGATGATTATTTAAGGCAATGAAATTTTTTCTATTTTGTTTTCTTTGATTAATTTCTTATCATGTACTGTGTATGTGGTATTGAATCCAATTCAGCTTACGTTTGGGCACTCTTATTATCATATCGTGTGATTAACGTAAATTGATATTTGGAGAAAGCATCAATATGCTTAATGATGATCTAAATTTCAGATAAGAAACTTTTGACGTCTGGCAGCGAATGGAGTTTCATTATTCTACCACTATGCTCAGTCATTCAGTTCAATCGCACGACGCATTAATTGGTATCAAAGTACTCAGTATTAACCATTGACATTATTTCAAAATAAACAAGTAGGAAAGCTCTAGTCGAGACTGCCCGACTACGAGATTCCCTAAACCCTTCGAGCAACTGATATTTCAATAATTATTCGCACATGCAAACACACACGCGTACACACAGCCATACGCACGTACGCATAAACACACATTGGCTGCTGTGGTGGCTTACTATGGGAACTAATTGTTTAATAATGAAACTTTCAGATTATGAATATAACATAGATATGCATGTATTTGCCCGGATTTCCCATTTTCAATGGGTTCAGGGTATACAAATATATTTATACCTACACAGAACTTCTAAGCTGACCGCAAGAGTTGTTTAGTTATTTGTAGTTATCAACACTCGTCTCTTGATTGCGCACGTTGCGGTTTGCCATTTTTCTAGGGAAATGTTGCAACCCAGCAAGCATTTGGAAGACTGCATAAACAGAAATCGTCTTGATGAGTCTTCTTTGAGTCCCCTTGACGATTAAAAAACGACTAATCTCCCGGGCGATCGAAAGAAGACTCATAAATGACCCTTCCATATGCTCAAAGTATGATTACTTTAAAATACAAAAACGAAATGCAAAGCAATCGCCAAATGAGCATGCAGGTGATTAAAATATGATCATTGCTTGGTTTTATTTTGTTCCTATGCAATCATATTCTGCTCGCTTGGCTGATCGAAAAGCGATTCTTATCTAAGCTTATATATAAGTTAAACGGTACTTTTTCTTAAGCACAAGCCGAAATGTGCAAATTTTGTCATTCGAGCGTGAAAGTGCAAGTGAAGTGCAATCAGAAAAGTTTTTTCGGACAAGGTAGCTTCCGAAACCAGCTGGAAGGGGACAAAAATTAAACCATCAGCAGAAAGGTGTTACATTATAGCCGTAATAAAAAGTATGTATTATTTTGGAAAATATTTATAATATTTTTTATTAATTAATATTTTTCCTTTTAGATATTGCTAATGAAAAATTTACATGCACGGATAAGGATTTAAATACGGTGCTACAAAAGCATTTTGTCCTTGCCAATGACAGGCTGGCAAAGCGTAGGCGCTTAGAATAATATAAAAGATACTTTCTATTTCTGTTACTATTTTTGTTATTTTTTGTTTTGAATTTCTATATTTTGTTTTGTATCAATTTACTTTTTTTTTTTTTGCTGGTTTTTTTTAAGAAAATATATATATATTAAATGAAATTTATATCAAGAAAAAATTCTTTTCATTGCAAATTATTGAAAATTTCAATCGAATATGAGTCAAAAAATGATTAAATTATGACTCGTGGAAGACTCTTTTATGATTAAAAGATGACTCGTGGAAGACTCTTTTATGATTAAAAACAAGAGTCATAAGCGACTCATCAAGAAGAGTCGCGGGTAGGGTACCATTTTCTCCCGACAGAACAGTCTTTTATGATCAGAAAATGAGCGCACATATGACTGTTTTCAATCATCGCGCGAGTCTTTTAAGACTAACTTATGCTCTGTTAAACGCAAAAATGCTTGCTGGGAATTGAAGAGGCTTTGACCCTACAAAGAGACGAGTGGATAACTGAAGCTAAATAGAAGTTCAAAACTCCTCATTAAAACTTAACAAAAATCTTAAATTCGTGCTCGCATTCGGCAGTCGGGACTCGATATCGTTGCTACCGTTTCGAACTAATTGGTTTTATTGTTTGGAAATTCCAGAACTCTGACTATATTGTTAAGCAATTAATGGCTAACAATTGGGCGTCAATTGCGTTTTGTTGACTGTTGACTGACTTGAGTCGAGGTTTTTAGGATTGCGTCTTCTCCTACTCAATGCTTTGCAGGTCCGTCTCGCCCAGAATCCATTCCAAATAGGCTGTAATGCGCGTGTATACAGTTGGCGAGCCCTGCTCACAGCCATTGGTGCTGCCGAATGAGGTTACTCCAATCAAATAGCTGACATTGTGCCAACGATAGACCAGCGGACCACCGGAGTCGCCCTGGCAACTGCCACGTCCCTCTCGCCCATCGCTGCAAATGTGACGTTGCACGCTAACTAAGCCAGGTAGAAAGTAGCAAATGCACCTCTCTTGCTCTAGCACGGGAACATCCACATAGTGTAGGAGATTGGCCTCTGGGGATTGAGTACCATTCGTGCCATCTCCCAGAGCACCCCAGCCGGAGCTGCTGACCAGTTGTCCCTGCAGCAGCGATTGCTGCATAAAATCGAGCGCCAGAGGAATGGGCTCCACCGTCGTGCTGGGCGTGGCCGAGTGGGGCAGATGTATTAGGGCCAAATCATGATAGCCCGCAAAGCCTAGATAGCCCGGAAATACATTAAAATTCCATATATGCACCTGAAAAATTTGGGTTGCTGTTTCAGCGTCTGCATAGCTATTGCTGCCTAGATAAATCTGACCACTTTCGGCATCATTCAGGCAATGCGCTGCAGTCAGAACGTAGTTTAGACTAATGAGGGATCCACCACATTGCGTGGCATATCCTTGACGCCGATGCAAAAGCAATGCAGCTTGATAGGGAAACATTCCCGGCTCGGCCAGTTCGCCCCGTGCTATGCGAGGGCTTACTTCTAGGTGTTGCTCTGGCAGCTCGTATTTCTTGCATTTTCGCTGCCAGCTCTCGTAGGCCAGATGCCAGCGTGCAGAGAAGACTTCCTCCGGATCATCATCATGGTGTCCGGTTGAGATCCACGCCTGCGTAAGACTGAAGCCAAGCAGGCAGAGAAGCAATGTGAGCGTGTAAGGCATTACAGTTGACTATGCCGTGCCACTTGACAAGTTTCTTGTTTTTATATACATACACAAAAGGGCCGGCACGTGTCTGGGCCCCTTTGGTTAATTGAATTGGGCGGTATATTTCGATGTGAATTACACACAGAAACCAGCAGCTGTTTGGCATTCAATTTTAGCCAGTTTCATGTAATTGCCACACGTTTCAGCGATTATGTTGTTTAGGCCTTCGTCTTTAACTATAGCCAGAGACGAGCGAGAACATAAGTGCTGCAAAGAGTATATAGCAAAAATATACCCTATAGGCAGCCGTTCGTTTCAAATGTTCATTTCTATATACATATAAATGTATTTAAATATCGACTCTTAAATATTTCGATATGAAGTTAAAAGTTATTGGATTGGCCTGAAATGGATTGTTACACACATATTCTAAGTACCCATCTTCTCAAATTGCAGGGTACAAGCACCAATGCGCAGCTCCCTGCTGAAGCTGTACCGCAATTGTTGTTCTTCTAGCTGCAGTTGCCTTAATTACATTGCGACTCATTTGAGGCAGCTTTCCCCAATTACATGCCTTAACAACTGTCGTGGTGGCGGATTTTGGCAGTATTCATCAATGTTCTTGGCTTATTGTTTATATATTGTAATTCACTTACTATATAATATAAAAAATTTCTACGACTCTGATAAATATTCTCTAGTGCTATATCAGTTTGTAGTAAAATTAAGAGAATCTAACTGAAATATATATGTATATATTTATTTCGATTTAGTCTTAATCCATTAAAGCAACTGGAAAAGGCCTAAAATAAAGGGAAAGAAATTTTTTTTTAAACTTTAATCTAATGTTGGCGACTTTCAATGAATTTTTTTCCTCTACCGCCCTATTGAATTTTTATTGGTTTCTTTCTTTTCGTTGTAATTTTGTGTTGCTAAACTTATCTTATTCTACTTCTTCGTCATGTATTGCCCGCCTCTGTTTTTATGTTTATGCGGAAATCTGCAGAAATTGTGTCAATATCAATAAAATTAGATTAGTATCGACGGCAGCAAACAAGCAAAGTGTGTCAAGCTAGTCAGCCAGTCAACAAATAAACTCACTCTCACACTCACACGCACACAGCACGCACGCACAGCTTCATGTGAACCATCCACATCCACATTGTTACGGGAGGCAGCACTTCCGACCTGCGGCCTGCGTAAACAGAATTGCCTCTGTATGTGTGTGTGTGTGTGTGACAAATGCTTAAATGGCTTGAAATTGTTGTAATTTCCCAAAAAGAAAGAAGGGAGGCGGTAAGAATACAAGCGACGAACTTTTACTCAGTTAAAACATGAGCCACACTTAATCTCAGTTAATTTTCTTAATGTAAAAGTTTTCACGAGTCTCCTCCCGTTTTCTGGTCCTTGTCACATTCAATTTTTTGTCCTCTACTACGCTTTGTGGCATTTGTCGCCCTATGCATAGACTGAGTATACCGAGAAAATAGGCAGCGGCTTGAAATTACATTTTAGGCGCATATTCTTTTTGCTTGGCATTTCGGATGATTTTCATAATGCGAAAATTAGAAAAGTTTCTGGTCAGCACGTTTTTCGCTATTGGATTTAAATTTTTACGGCCCGTTAGAGGTTTTTTGGATTTCTTTGTGATTTTTGTTTAAAGCTGTTTTCCTATTGATTTCACATTCAGAACATTTACGTGCTATTATCGCAACGCTTACCAACGCCAAGCGAAAGCCCAAATAGATTCCATTTCCATTACGGATGCTGCTATTGTTTTCCACGCTTTTCACCGTTTTTTACAGCTTTCCCCTTCGGTCTCCCGATTCGACGACAATGACGTAATCTTTTATATAAACACAGCCAACACTTTTCACACTGCTGTCCAAGGAGTCGCTGCTTCTACGCTCCGCCACTTCGTTTAGCCAAGGAATTCAGTACGGGTAACGAATATCGAATAAAGGGTAACGGGTAACGGGAAAGCATCACGTGACGAGTGATTGAGTGCACTTCTGTGTGCGCTTTTTCACTTAAAAATGCGCGATTTCAATCACTAAAAGCAAAGGTACACAACGTTCAAATCGAATCAGCAACGGCTGAGTGATGTTTGCCGCCCACAGGAATCCTGATCCCACTTCTTCATTATGATCAAGCTAGGAATACAAAAATCACGTTAGCTACCAAAGGAGTTAGGCTAAAACAAAAAGTATGGAAGCTAGCAACGAAACATGCAAACGGAAGTTGGTAATAAATGTTAAAGCGAGTTATGTGCAAAATGTGCGAAAAACGTGACAGGTCGGACAAGAATTCAAAAAAAAAAAAAAATATATATATATATATATATATATATATATATATATATATATGTATATATGTATATATGTATATATATATATAAGAAATTTAGAGTATAAGAAGAAGCTGTTGCTGAACATGCCGGTCATCAGAACGCGACGCCACTTAACAAATCCCAAGTTGTCGTTGCGTGCCACGTGACTGGAATAGACGAGAGCGTGTTGAGAAACAATAGCTTTGGTTTGGCCAGTCGGAATTTGACTGTCCCTGTTCCTTTTTTACCCTCTCTTGCGATAGCCAGAGCTCAGTGGAGCGATGCTTGTGGGTTTGATGGCGTAGGAATACACCGGGAAAACGCTTTCACGCACGCTCGCCTTGTAGCGTTGCCTGGCCGACCTGCCGCGCTTAATTTCCGCTTGTAATGGACGCACAATAAATCGTGGATAGCGTTCCCTGTGGCGCGCAATCTCAAACCTTTGGAATCTCAGGCTGCACGCCAATGAAATACATCTTTTGTTTGAACCTGTTGTTGTCTTCACACACCTGCAAACTCAACGTGCGCCCAGCTTCTATTCAATTTTGAAAGTTTGAAGAAGAGGCACACCGAAAGGCGCTTAGCGGGGTGAGGCCGGTCTGTCTGTATGTCTTTAAATTAACTGCATCACTAGCAGGTTGAGCTAATATTCCGATTTATTTAAGACATTCAAAGTGTGTTTTAAGCCGAAATAAAGAACTCTTTGAATGGGTTTGGCGTCTGTCAAGCTTGAAAATCGATTATGATATGTCGATTTAAGCTTAAGCATGAACACCTCTATTTTTTACCCAACACTGTAAACATGTCTATTTTCATTAGGAAATTCTTGTGCCTATTCATGAACTATACTAGTTATTTTTGTATTCTAAGCGAAATTGCTAACTGAAAGAGAAACTTTTCTCCTGGCATACATGTGGATTAGTCCTAATTTATTTTTGCTATGTTCCTTTGTTCTCTCTCTCTCTCTCTCTCTCTCTCTCTCTTCCTATCTTCCTCTCTCTGTGTGTTTTGTGTGCTTTGGCCATATGATACCATAATTTAAAATGGCAAATCCTTTTAACTTTCCACCGCAATGTGCCAATTGCCAGGGCCATTTTTATTGTCGCCTCGTTAGTCAGAGAGTTGAACGGGATAACTATTGCCAAATCCTCGACTGTCGCCCGCGCTGAATGTGCGTGTCGCCTAAGCCAGGCGATAAGGTGTGCACATTTGAGAGCCACCTGCCTGTCTTTTACCCCTTACATACATATAGCCAGTCGGTACGTGCTTTTTCTTGCTGCTGTTGATAAGTTGCTATATTGGATTGCTGGCTGTGGGCAGCGTTCAGGGAACAGGGAGCAGGGACACATAGACAGGGTCAAAGGTAAAGCCGTTAATTTATTAGACCGAATGGCAAACAAAATGCCAGCAACACATAAATAAGCGAATGGCTGTGGCTGGCACTTTGAAGCTCTTTTGGTATTCTTGAAATTAAGCAGTGTCGGCTAACACACACACACACACACACGCACATACCAAAACTCACTCGCAAACTTTATCTCTGTTACTGTGTCTCTTTAGCGATTCGGCTTTAATGAGTGGCTTCGACTTGTGTCTAAGCGGCCTATAAATTTCAATGGTCAAAATTGCGCGCTAAGCTGCAACTTTTTGTGGGTAGCTAAACGTCATTGTATGCAAGCATCCAGCGCGTCTAGGTGTGTGTGTGGTCGTGTCTGTGTGTGGGATGGGCAACAATAGAGCAACTGAAATGCATATTCAATAATGTCCTCGCTTTCAACTTTTGTGCAGTTGAAAATCTGCATAAAGCCCAAGAAAGAGATAGAACTAGCGGGAAAGAGAGATATTGAGTAAGAGAGATAGCTACTACGCTAGCTGAATAGAGATGGCAACACATTTAACAATGCGCCAAAGCCGTGGACTAAAGTTCTTGCCTGCGAACAATAGAAAAACGAATTAAACAAAAAGCCAGTCGGGCTTAATACTCGTATGTATGTGTCTATCTGCATGTATGTAAGTATGAGTGTGTTGGCACAGCAACAACAGCAACAACAGCGGCGACATTAGCAACAATGGGCCTCGCCAGGAGCAGCTGCAACAATGCACACTAGCTTACGAGTTAGTGTGTGTGTGCGTGCGCGTGTGTGTGTGTGTGAGAGTGAGTGAGCGAGTGAGTGCATGTGTATGTGTATTATTATGCTACTATCTCGATATGGCAATGTCACCATGTATTGTGTGCGAATGTGTGAGGCTGCTAAGACGGCAGCCACTGTTGCTTTAACTGGCTATTGTTTGCAGCTTCAGCCGTAACCACACTCCGTTAACTGCCACGCCCTGCGCTCCTTAGGATCCATCAAGTTGTCGGCGGCTGCTTTTGTAGTCTTGTTGTTGTTGCGTCAGCAAATGCACTGCATTAATGCCACACGCTTTGCCAGAGTCTATTGAGTATGAACCATGTGGTGTATATAGAGCACCCGGATTTTACTTCACTTTATGCAGGAATTTCAAACAGTCGGGTTTTACCTTACTTTGTGCATGTTCTCTATCAACATGGAATTTATAGATTCAATTGGTAGCCTGTATAATATCAAATGACATATACATATAGAAATATAAGGTCAACACTCTCGTTCGACAAGCTGCTTACATTTTTATCAAATTGAGCATTTCTCTGTAGTCTGTTGCTTAGTTTCAACGTCTTTGTTGTTTTATGTGTAATCTTGAAAGCTTCTTGAGAACTGTTCTAATTCCAAAGCTTTCGCTCGGTGCCATGGCTATAAAAAGGGCTCACCTCTCGACTGAATGAGAAAAGGCTTTGTCGTGCGTTGCATTGTTCTTTGTGCATTAAGTTCCTCAGAATATTTGTTTGCTGCTAGTTGATCGAACCAACTGTTGAGAGAGTGTTTGAAAAAACTTTCGAGTGCTATCAAAGTGGAAAAGTTAATGCATTGGTGATCCCTCTGCCAGTAGTCATATCACTAGAAAATGTTGACTTCTCTCTAATAGCATGCAATTTAGGTTGAGCAAAGAAATGAGAGCGTGAACAGCAGCTCACAGGCCAACTTGCGGCACCAGCTGCAGCATCGGCTCTGCCGCAAAGGTCATAAAATATAGTTACTGCTGCAGTAAGGGCAAATCAATGAGGTATCCTTGTCTAGCCAGTATTTGCATTTGGCTTTTGACAGTTCAACATTTCCCCAGACAATGTTTGCTTCCAAACTGTTCCATATATGCAAGCATATGCTTGCCAAATAAAAAAAAAAAAAAAAAAAACTTCCTGTGAACATATACAAAACGAGGAAGAAAGGAAGAGGAGGGCAACGCTTGGTTGTTGCTTTTTATTGTTTTGCGCGCATGTAATGCATTTTTTGCTTTCTTTTTTGGCAGCTCTTTTGTTGTAGTTTTAATGACAGCCTCCAAACCAAGCAGCTCCCGAAATTGTCGCCTTAAACTCAGCAAAGATGTCGCGTCGCTTCAAAGTATGCAACTTTTTTAATGGGCTCGGTAAAAGTTTTTATATATTTTTTGCTATTCTAAACTTGGGCGTAAAATGTTGGGCAGTTCGGTGGTTTTCAACTTAAGAAATGCTTCACGTCAGTTGCATTATGAGAGCTTTTGGAGGTTTGAAGCAGCTTAGTTATAAATGCACTGATTGGGCTTAAAATTCTGAATTTTAAAGAGTTTGGAAAAAGAGAGATTTAATGAATGACAGAAAGGATTGAAAAGAGCACATTAAGAAGAGCACATTCCATTTCCAGCTTTAGCTGCAATTTAACGCTCAAGTTGAGTAACAAAGCAATGCTTGCGGCATTTGGATCCATTTAAATAAAACTTATAAAAAGTTGTCTGTCGCCGCGTTTACCTCGCAGTCATAAAACACTCAACGCGCATACGCCATGTGTTACAGCAAACTAAAGCAAGCCAACGAAAAAAAAGTAAGGAGAGCATCAAAAAGCAGCTCATGCCATATCCAAACATTTTTAATTAGCCTAATGAAAAAGTTAAAATGTAAGGGAAATGGAAAAATCTTGCAATTTTTCAGAGCTGCGACAACAAAAGGCGATGGTTGCCGACAAATGGGTAAAACGCAGCGCAAATAGGAGAGCAATAATTTTCGCCATTGTTCGCGCAGAAAGGGGAGAGGCAGGATGCCCCACCGTTAAGGAGCTGACAAAGAAATACAATAAACGTGAAGCGGAAGACTGAGTGAAAGAGAGGAAGAGAGCGGGATATGGAGATGGAGGGATGCAAAAAATGTTCGTAAATAATACAAATATGAGAAGTCCGCTTGTCATGACTGGAGTCCTGGCTATTCGCCATTGTCCTTTGGGCCCATCAGCAAATAGCGCTAATTACGAAAATGACGACGGTACGATTGGAAAATGTTCAATTAAAAATAAACCTTTCCAAGGTCGCTTAAGGACATATATAAACCACTTACGAATCATGGGAAACGGCAGACAATGCATCATAATTGATTTTTGCTGTTGTTATTTCCGAGTCACTTTGTCTTATTAAATATTTAGTGGCGAAGCTGTCAGAGACATCCACATTGAATAACTGGTCTCTACAACACCAACAGCAATAACAGCAAACAAAAAATAAAGTTGAAAACTTTACTCGCGCTCATGAATACTGTAGGTGGCCTAATGGGCCAATTGCTCGACTCTAGCTGCTAATACGACAATTATTTAAATGCTTTCTAGGAATTTTACTTATTCTATTCTTTTTTACGCACGCATTCGTGTGTAGCCAGCCCGATAATTGCAACAAAGTGCAATTTTTTCATTTGACAGCAACATGAAAGCAAAACCCAAAAAAGTGGAAAAGTCGACAGCACTTTGACACTAAACAAGCAAAAAAACATTTAAAAAAAAGGTAGAAGGAAACCTACAGAAATAAAATTGGGAAGAAAGAAATCGCTGTTGCCTCAACAAAGTTTTCGCATAGCGCAGAGGATTTGCCGCCAAGTTTTGAGGGTGAACAAATTTCAGACTTAAAGATTGCAATTAAAAAAGGGATTTCGTGACTCTGACCGAGACTTTGATTTTTAGCCGTACCAGCAACCAACAAGTTGGTCTTTTCTGCTTTCCGACTAAAAGTTGAGCAAATTAAAATTTTATAATGACGGTGATTAGGCCAACAAACGACGACGTCCAAATTGCCCCACAGAGCTCGCACAGCGACGCGGCAGTCCGCCAGTAGATCGCAGCTGAGTAGATGTCGCATTTTTTATTATTATTATTTTTAAGATTTTCGTCGAAAGTACCATACAATTTGTAGGAAAGTTTAAGTTCTAAATAGAGAAAATGATCGACCGCATAGAAATTCGACATTAGTAACACCTAACCCGATCTGAAATTAACAATGAATCACTTGTTGCAACTGATAACCACAAATACAAACTTGAAGCACTTGAAGCAAAGTTTTGATTACCTAGCATCTCAATTCATAGGGTGAATTAGACTCTCTTCGATTTCTTTAATCTGTATAATGATAGTGTGAATTCGAAAGTTCAAAAAAGTCTAAAATTTCATATGCTGTATAAATATGCTGTTGTATATAAATGCAAATGCATAACTATTTAAATACAATTCGGAATACACAAATAAATGCGGACGCTCAGAGCATAATCAACGTGTGAAAATTTATTTGGCTGCCCTGTGTGCACAAGAATTGTATAATGAGAAATTGATTATAACTGTTATTAAAATTAAAAGAATTTCAGCTACTGTTTTTTTTTATTTGCTTTTTATATATAAATTAAATAACTTTATTTATTTCAATTATATTAGGTTAGTGCTTTATATACAGAATTACGGTCGTTTTTGTTTGGTTGTATTTGTTGCAATTTGTTTATCTTAATTTAAAATATTCAATTTTTGCTTAGTATATTTTTTTATGCTTAACAATTGAAGCTGCAACAACATTTAACAAATCATTTTTAATACATATATATAAATTGTTAATTAATCATATATTCTTTTATCTTTGTGTTTTATTATTTTTCACGTTTTGCGCAATGGAAAATTGAATTGGAATTACAATTGCGTGGGAAGGAATAACACCAAATCAAACCAAGGTAAGCATTTGATTTATGATGGGAAAAGTTTAGATTAGTTAGGTTATAATTATAGTAGAACATAAAGCGCTTTCCGTATTAACATTTTTACTTTTTTTCCCTTGGCCAAAAAGATAGTCTCAAACTAAATTAGAATTATTTTCACCATTTATCAACTAGGCGTTTCATTTGCAGTTATATATAGTGTGGATGTATGTTTGTGTGCGCGGCTTTTAATAGAGTATCACATTTATTGTTATCGAAATACATATTTTACGCTCTATCAATAACTATGACTTGGAGATACTCTCTCCCTCCGTCTATGTCTCTGTCTCTGAGTGGGTCCTATTTGTATGCCTCTGGTTACTACTGCTCCGTTTCCAGATTCTTGGCACGCAGATACTTGAGCAGCATTTGCAGCGAGTCGTAGGTATCAAAGTCATCTAGATTGCGTCGCGAAGAGGACATATTTGTGGGCCTAGGCATGGCCAGGGGAACGGGCAGCAGCTCCGGCATAACTGAGTGATGGGTTATTAGAGCCTTTAAGCTAGAGAACTCCTTGCGAAAACCCTTTAATAATAATAGCTGCTAAGAAAAATGTTCGATTTGATGTGGCAAGTCTTACCTTAATCTTATATCCACGTGGCGAGCGCAGTATTATATAGTTGGCAACCTTGGGTCCGGGAGGTGAGGGTACGCGTAGGGTAAGCGCATAGCAGTCGGGCCTTGAACTGCTCTTTCGCACAAGGAATGCACCTGGACTCTTGTTCTGCAGCACCTCGACTGCGATGTCACGTGAGATACCGGCCTGATACCAACTTGCTGCTTTAAGCTCTGTGTCTGACTCCTCCTCCGCGTTATCTCGAGCTGTGTGCGTGTTGGCCAAGCTGCTGCTGCGCTGAGTAGCTGCTAAACTCGTTGCAGCAGCAGCAGCGGCAGCGGCTGTAGCTGAAGCATTATTGAATCGCAGGCGATTGGCGAAGATCTTGGGACTGGAATTGGCTGTGGGAAAAACATTACAGAACCGATACACGGGCACAGATCAGGGCAGAGCCTGTCTTTATATATCTCTATCTCTCTAGACTCTCTTACCGCTGCTGGTTTCGCGTAGATATCGCTTCTTCAGATTGAATTCACTGTTGTCATTGTTGAGACTCACATTGTCCAGCATGGGTATGGCTGTCAGAGATTGACGGCAGGAGTCGCCAAATTTACTGTCGATATACGAGTCCTCATTGATGTAACCATTTGAGTAGATGGGACCAGCGTGCTCACAGCTCAAGGCAGCTGCGCTGAGGGGCGTTACGTTTGCCACCAGTGGGCGTGACTCCTCATTGTGGCGCAACAGACCCATGGTCAAGCGCTTAACCTGTGAATAAAGTGGTTGAGAATGGCTTTAAAGAAGCTGTTCATACACGAGGAAACAAAATTAACTACAATTTAAACACCTTGTAAGCTGCGCAAAGAGGCGCGCGTGGGCGTACCCCAAGCAACCAAAACGAAAAGGAAAAAGGAAAAAAAGCGAGAAAGAAAGAATTTATTGCCAAAACCACAACTAGACAAAAAGCTTGGTAGAAAAACTTTTTTGCGCCAGCACTTAAACAGGAAGCGGATGCTTGGACTAGGAATTACTAGTCGGAGCAGAGTCGTTGCCAAAGAAAAAGGGCTGGGCCATAAAAGGCTGTCGCATAAATTGAAGGACAACTGCGAGAAGGAGGCGCGCTGCAGTCGCAGTTGCAGGATGCCTAAATGTAGCCAAGCAACGAATGCGGCGGATACGGAAGTGGCGTGCTAAGCGGAATTGTGCCGCAGGGCTACCAGCAGCAAGAAAAAAAAGTTACAGAAAAATACATAGAGAGAAAGGGAGACAGAGAAAGATACAGAGAGAACAACTGTGTGGGCATAAAGAAAACTGAGAACAGGCGGCGATAATTCAGATGCACTTGTGCGCGCATGTTGAGATCATGTTAGCAAACGCCTGTTTCTCTGGAGAGTAAATGGAACTTTGACTATGGCAAGCGATATGCAGGAAATGAATAAAAGAGTGGAAAGGCTGCATCGGACAGCAGCAGCAGAACACAGAACCTTACTCATATTGAGTTAACTTAAGTTTATTTTAGATCAGCATGACCTATGCCTAATATGGAATGTTTACCCGCAACCATGACATGAATTGCTAGTGGGAAATATCATAAGTCTTTATCAAAGTATTGCTGATATTTTTGTGTAGCCTTATCCTTATCATCTCAATGTACAATGTGCCATATTCAATGGAATCTGTTCGACATTTTCAGGCTATTTTGCTCTGATATATTCTAGAATGAGATTTCTTGTTAAATTTTTCTACTTGTTTGTAAGCGTATTTAAGTGTCGGTATTCTTCACTTATAATTTCTAATTTTTTTCTGTTTATTTTTTATATTTCTTTTTGGGGTCAGTGGCTTTGAAAATCTGTCTGGCTGTATAGAACGGCTGCGCCCGAAAGTAGACTACACTTTTGCGTTTGTTTGTGTGTGGAATAATTTAAGGCGACATTGACAATGAGACGGCGGTGGCGTTTGTGCAGTTTTCATTCGTCGGCTGCCTTGAACGGTTTTCTGACTACCTGCCTCGGTACCTGACGGCAATTGTTTGCTCATTGCTGCATAATTTAACAGGCGCGAACGTTGTATACTCTTAGGCTGCTTAAACAAACATTTTTTACATATTTCACAGCGCATCGCACACTGATTTAATTTGTACCAAGAATAATATAACACGATTTACACAGTACTAACACGAGGGGTGGTTACTGTAATATCATTTAATATATTTATAAGCGCTTACACAGAGCTTACAATATGTAAGTCTACAGAACTACGGGTCGTTAAGTACCAAATATAATATTTTATGATACATTAAGTTAAGCTATTGAACTATGCTCAGACTCTCTCGATCTTCTGATTTATTAGTTTATCATATACAAATAAGTTAGCTGATTTCATAGATTAGATAAACGCTGACGTTACCGAGACGTAGACGTTCCTGCTAGCATTTTGTTTTGCCCAATTACATTTAAAGCACGAATATGAGATGTTGTTGCTAAAAGTTGGACTTTGATTTGTTTTTCCCTCAAAATTTCCCATTTGCTGGCCATAAAGAAAATGTGCGCCAGACTAATTGGGATGTTGCTGGCTTAATGAACTGGCAGAGTCGGGACATTTGGCATCAGCTGTTGTCAATCACTCCTCCAGCCACTGAGCTGAGCTGTACCAAGAGGTGGCACGTGCAAGTTGCCGCAACCCAAAACATTTATGCAAATTTAATAAACTGTAACGAGATGAGGAAGAGAGGAGATGGAAAGAGAGAGAGAGAGAGGGAGAGTGTGAGTGAGAGAGGGCGAAGGAGTGTGGTACGCTTAAATCAGGCAACAGATTGAGGGGCTCTGCTGTGTGGCCTGTGATGGGCGGGTCCACAAAATATTATTTATTGCAAGAGTATGATATACAAGTGGGCGTGTCATGCACCGGCCACATGTGGCTCTACCGACTGTCGCTCACTGCCAGACAGCAAAATGGAGGCAGCTTCAAACGATATATTCGACTCTCAGCTGTGAGTGTGGAGCAGTGGCTGTTGCAGTTGCTAAACAAACATTTAGCGATAGCGAGTCAACAGCATCGATGCATCAGCTCTAGCAGAAGCAGAAGCAGCAGCAGAGGGAAATAAGGATCAGACGACAGGCAGCGCATCATTTCCGGCAAATACAGAGATAGATTCTGTGTGTCCTGCTATGCGGGTGAAGTGCATAATGTGCCATCGTCCATTTGTCTTTGCTGCCTTCACTCCGCGATTGGTTTGCCTGACTTGCCTGGCCGGGCTGCATGTGCAACTTGTCTGCTGCTTTATTTTGCTTATCTGAAATTGAATCAGGCAGTGAAGCAGACGAAGAGGACGCCAACTTTGCCATCGGGCACAATTAGGGCCGCTACAGGCACACTCACTGTGTCTCTGTGTATGTGTGAGTATATGTGGGTACGAGTGTGGGCTGCAAAAATTAATTTGCTTATCGCGCTGCAGCCGCTCCCTGCCACAAAATGATGTTATTGACAGCGCACCCAACACACGAAGGCAGGCATAATGTAAAAACTATGCCTAGGGCAGAGCGAGGGAGAAAGGAAAGAGCAATATAGCATAGGCAGTCGCCACGTGGCGTATGCGTGTTATGTTTATAACAGAAATTGATTTATTGACAAAACAACAGGCGTACGACCATCGACTAGGGTATACTCTGTAAGAGTAAGTCATAAAAGTGTTTGCATTTAAGCAGCTTAAATTGTTCTTCTATGTAGGTAAGTTAAAAGTTAAAATAAACAAATTTGAAGTGCAAAATTATGTGTTTATATACTTTAAATAGTTTAAGAAAATTCAAATAGTTGCGTGCTGCATTATATCAATTGATTATCTATAAATCTAACATTCCAATATACTCAATTTACAATTGTTGTAGAGCGTATAAGAAACGAATATGAGAAATGCCAAAGCAAAGTGCTGAACCCTTTTTTTTTCTTTTTTGTTTTACTCTAACATATGTGTTTTTCCCCGTCCTTTTGGTTGTATTGCTTTTTTTGGTTGATGTCTTTAACTCAACCGTTTTGCATTTGGTTTTTTTCGGGGAGCTATGCTAACAATATTTATGGCTTGCCATTAGGGCGAGCTGATTGGTTTTCGCTTTCGATTTGGGTGCGTTGCAGAATGACAATGCTTCTGTTTTTTTTTTTTTTTTTAACTTGTTGAAAGTGTGATATGGCCTTGGAATTGAGTTTGTGGCTCTTGAAAGTCGTGCTGTGCTGCACTTTTGCTCCATTTAAGGGCCATTAGCTCAAAACGTAATCATCATAATGCGCCTCCGTAGTAGTCAGGCCATAAATAAGACAAACACATTACGCATACGCCGCGTGCACACAGCACATGGGAGCAGACGATGTGGAGTCTTTTCTAAGAGTCTCTCTCATATGAATAAACTCGCACGTACTTATCGCATAGACTATGCTCGACTGCGCACAGCTGCCTCACTATAGCCAGGGCGATATGTGTGTGTTGCCTGTCCTATGGTATGAATATTTAAGGCGTCAAATTTATGAAAACAACGTGCCTCAACTTGACTCAAAGTCGAACTTGATGGCGAAGTCGGCAGCCAACTAAACCAAACTTCTGTAATGCAAAGTTTTTTGGCTTCCTATATTCTCGAGTCGGGCAACGTGACGAAAAAAACATGAAATGACAAAACATTTGATAAACATTGCCCATGTGGATCAGATCAAAGCTCTACCCACTCTTTCTCACACATGTCCTCCGATGATGGCTAAGGACTGCGCATTGTTCAAGCAGACAATCACAATGCTTATCTTATATCAGAGAAAAGGTGGAGACAGCTGGGAGAATGGCCAAAGATCTCTGCTTGGCAATACATTTCGAAATGCTTCAAAAGTTGCCTCAAATTTTCTTTTTTTTCTTGCCCAGAAAATTTGTGACAAGTTACACTAAGAGGCAAAGAGCAGCCTTGCCGAGAAGGTTTAGCTGCGCTTAGAGCAAACTTTTCATGTCTTCTCTATTTTTCCCTTCTTTTTATTTCTGCCAATAATTCATAGAAAGCGTCAAATGCAGCAGAATAAACAGTGAACAAAAAAGTCTAGGCAGAATTCATAAATTTTCAAAATATTTGCGCAAAGAAATTGTGCATGAAAAAAATCCAATAAATGGCCGCAGTTGCCGAAGTTGAAGGCACCCTTATCAAAGTCAAAACACAAACATATCAAATATGCTATGATTAAGGGCGGGCAAAGGAGGCTTGGTTAGTGGGTGACAGGAATGGTAAGCAGGGTGAGGTTAAAGTACTTTTATAATAAAAGCTTAGGACGAGATGCTAAACCAAGGAATCACATTACGATGACAAAATACCCTTCAAGAGAACAGATTTAGAATATATAGAAAGCTGAATATACGTATGGGACAGTTGAGAGTAACTGGGGTGTAACCCTTTATATTGGGTTTCTAATGGGTTTTACGTACCAGTGGCGGTTTGTCCGTTAGCCGTTTGCAACTGTTGAGCTCGGTGGGTGAGTTATCCTCATCTGAGCTAGGAGTATGCGCCCCCTTTTCGTTATCATTACAGCTGTTAAATACATGCATACTTTATCAAGAGGTAGATTCATCAAAGAGTGTGTGTGTATTGGAGGTGTGATATGCTTAAAGTAGCTTTGCGTTGTGATGAGATGATTAAGCTTTTGGGTAGGGATTGGGCTCGCTGACTATTCTACTCACTTAAGATTTGCCTGGCTGAACAGCTGCAATGGTCGCCGTCTGCCCAGGCTGGCAGGCGATGTGGGCGTGGCATTGCTTAATGTGGATCGGCCACGCGAGGCGCTCAGATAGTGGTACGAAGTGCGAGTCGTGTGGTGCACCGGTGGCGGCTGCGTCTGTTGCTGCCGACTGTTGCAGGACGATGAACGAAATCGAGCGCCAGTTATAACTGCGGCCAAATTGGCGGCAATGCGGTTGTCAAAGCGGTTAAAATAAGAGCCGCCATTCGAATTCGATATCGAATGCGAGTGGGTGTTATTGTGATTGTCAGCGGTGGGCGATGAATTGTTGCTGCTGCTGGCGCTGCCATTGCTGTTGCTGTTGCCGCTGGCAATTGTTGCCGCTGTGCCTGCTACTGATGTGGCTGTAGCTGTAGCTGTAGCTGTTGGTCGTGCTGCTATGGGCAGACAGCTCTTCTCATAATCCAAATTATTGTTGGTTATCATTGTGCGTTGTCGCTTTTGGGCATTAACTTTTGCAGTGTTTTTGAATTATGTGCGCGCATATAAAAACGCTGCGGGCGGCTTTTGTCGCACTGCGTGTGATTCGCGCCGGCAGAAGCCCCGAGCCACACGCACCAGGATGGGGAAGGGGCGGAGGATGCACAGTGTGGAGCAGTTGCGGCTGTTATTAAATTCTCTACTAGCCACAGGGGTCGCGCGCTACTTCAGCCTAACAGCAGGCGAGAAGGACGTGCAGAACGGGGCAGGACGAGTGCCAAAGCAACGACGTAGATTTAAACACAGAATTAATTCAAGCGGAAATTGGCAACAAAAGCAAAAAAAAAAAAAAATAAAATAATAATAATAATAAATAAATAAAGAAAAAAAAGGCATGAAAAAGCAAAGCAAAATCGAAAGCGTGAAGTATAAACAAAATGTGAAAATGGGGAGAGCCAGACGAGATAGAAAGCGAGAATGAAAACGCATATGAAAAATATGTTGGTTTGGGGCAAACCGCAAAAATGCACATAAATACGGGCGGCAAGAGAATGGAATGGGCAGGGGGATTAAGGATCCACAGGGGTTGTTTAGAGGGGTTCCAATTGGTCAGGGGTCGCAACGAAATGACGTCAGCAAATGTAAAGCGCATAAATAGCAGGATTTTTGCGTGATTTGAATGATGACGATGATGGTGATGATTATGATCGTTGATGTTCATTTGTTTGTTGTTGTTAATATGATTTTTTGATAGGTTGTTTGAAGCGAGACAGTATTTATAGTACGTATATTTGTTTGTTGGCCAATTTCATAGTTGAAAATGTTTACCAATTAGTTGCCAATTTTTTAATTCCGTTTGTAGATTTTTGTTTGAGCCAATTTCGGTTGAATTTGATTGTATTGCAGTCCGAAAATATTCATGTAATTACAAAGTGAAAGAGGGAGAAAGCGTTTAGTGTTGTTTATATTGCAATATATATATATCTTTTTTTTGTTGTTTTTATTGGTTTTTATTTATTTCAAATTTTTGCTTGCTGTAATTCGATTCCTATTGAAATCGTATCAATTACGCCAAAAAGCATTTTAGCCCTTTGACCATTTTTTTTCGCGCTGTACTCTTTTATGGGCGATTCGGCTAATGAAAGTGAAATGCAAATGTTTTCGCGTGTGTATATTATACTCACGTTGGCTCGCAGGCAACCAAACTTTTCATTGAACGGTCAGTGGTCCACGCTTGGAGCTGCAATACAACAGATAGAAAGACATAAAAAATAGAGATGCATTAAAATTGAATTAAAAATGGCTTTAAAGCGTAGCTGGAGATATGTGAGTGTGCATGTGTGTGTGTGTCTGTGGCAATCATTAGGCACCTATAATCAACACTTCATTAGGTGACTAATCAAGCGTACGCCTGGGCAAGAAATAACAACCAGTTCAGCGCAAAGGCAATGCCGCAGATTAAAGGAGCATCAGCAGGAGCCACAGGCACCCAAGGCAGAAGCCATCAACAGTACAGGACGAGAAGCACACTGAAATCGGGTGCATTCGTGCGACGAAGTAAACAACAAGTTCTGGCAAAAGGACGCAAATAAAACGCACAGATTAAAGGATGCCCGGGTGAAATGTCTTCTTAATTACTTCGCAGTGAACACAACGGAAAAGGGACACAGCATGAGCGAGAGAGAGAGAGAGAGAGAAAGAGAGAGAGAGGGCAAACGGAGAGAAAGAGTGAGTATGCGTAGGACTGAAAATGAGAGGCAGGATTGACTGCAGCGTCGTAATTGAGAAATCGGTGGCCCGGACTTGAATTGGATTTGAGATTGGGCAGCCAACGTCTCAGCATGGACCACAGCTCCATGTTGGCAGCGCAGTTTAGCGGAAGTAATTTAATTAATTACAAATGAAACGGAAACACGACGCAGTTCAGCAATCTGACACAGACACATGTGTCTGTGTGTGTGTATGCATATAGCATGTCACACTGAAGCATATTTTGACTTTGGTAACGCACTTGATGGCTTAATGGCTGCTTAAGGGCTATGCGCAAAATATGGATGAAATGAAGGGCAGGCTAAATAGAGGTAGATAGAATAAGAGTAAGAGTAGAGCTGCTATGCCGCAATTAAAATTTTTGCGCGCGAGCACCGCAAACTAATAGGACAGTGTGTAAGCGCATATACACTCACACATTCACATTTATTCGCACACACGGATACACGCAGACAAACGCATTAAGCACAGCTCATTTGCATTGCGGTTTTAATTGCCAGTCAACCCCTGAAGCGGACTAAAGCTTTCCCTCTCCCAGTCTCTGCTCTTGCCACAGTGCACAGAGCGCTCTGGCTACGGCTTACAAGGATAATGAAAACAATTTAACGACTCTCTCGACGATACGGTGGGTCAAAGCAGAAAACAAATGTTTTGGCCGCTGCATGTTGAGCGCTTTAACAAATAGAAACCTTTTCCATTCGCTCCATTTCCCCTTAATTTTCTTTCTTTATTTGGCGTCCAGTTTTGCGTGTCTGCGCACAATATTCGCAGATATATATATATATATATATATATATATATATATATATATATATATATATATAGATGTACATATTTTTGACACTTTAATGAAAATATTTTGCGTAGCATTTCGAACAGAGCAGGAAACGTTGATGAATATGCCGCATCCTTTCGCTAGCCTCATATTATTTTAACAAACTGGATTTGCCAGGACAGCGGTAGCAGGGGCAGTTGGCAGCATTTTTAAGCTCCTGTGATGGGCAGTAATTAAATGCTTGACATGCCTTTGGATATGAGTCGCTGGCTGAAGTGGATTAGCAGCCGAGCAGCAACGAGCCGAAGAGCGGATTTCAGTTGGGTTTGGGTTAAATTAACGCTGATGTTGGCATTATAATTATGGCATGTAGTTAAGTCGATTCTTTGCTAAGCGCTGTACGTGACAGGTTGATAAGTGAAAAAGAGGACTGAGAAAGGGGAAGGGAGAGAGTGAAAGAGAGAGAGTGAGAGAGGGAGAGAGAGAGAGAAAGAGATGGAGAGAGAGGGAGAAGGGGTGGTCAAAAGATAAATAAATAAAGATGTTAATATTATTTAACTGGATGCAGTAATGCTGAAAGCTTCACGCACGATAAACACTTTTCAAAAGATGGGAACTTTTTTCCAGATCTATGCCCGCTAAATGACAGATATCATTGTTACCGGTTTTTGTATACATTTCTTATAAATTTAACAATTAATTCCTGCCTTAGCATAATAAGGCTTAAGCTACCATAAAGAAGAGCTCATTAAATAATAAACATGCTCATTTGGCTAAGTGAATGAACGAGACCAAACAACATTTGCGTAATAAAATCAACAATCTCAAAAACAAAAACACATATAAAGCAAACAAAGTGATCATCTTCAGTTGCTGTTTCGACCGTTGTTTCTGATACAGTAAACAAATGCAGAGCAACGCAGAGGCTGCGACAGAGTGAGAGTGAGAGAGTGAGAGTTATAGGAGGGCGACACTGAGGTGGGCTAGTTCTTTCTGCCATCTGAATTAAAACAAATCAACGTCATATGAGCATTTTCAAGTGATTGTTGCGACTGCGTTTGAAACTTGCGCTGGAAACAACATAAACAAGCAATTTAACAGCCACTCACACATACACTCAGAGACTCACACTCACTGACAGCTGCTTGAACATGCAGCAGGCAGTTGCCAAACATACGAAGCGTTCAAGCGCATAAAGCCAGCGCCATAAAAAGAGCAGAGAACAGCGGCAGGAGGAGCAACAAAAACGTTTTATGTATGCCAAAGCAAACTGAGTGCGAGTGTGTGGATGAGTATGTGAACAGCTGAGCACCAGCTATACCGCAGATTTCGCACACATGCTTTAAAATATGCCGCAACTTTTAGTTAATGAAATTTTAATCAAGCCAAACCGAGTCCAAAACCCGTTTCACACACAGTTTGCCGCTGGATTCCTTTTAAGCATCAGCTGGGCAAAAATTATAGCCCTTTTTTCACTATGCCTACGTATGCATCTGCGTCTCAATCATTGGCGGGCGTTAAAATAGCCAGCAGCTTCATTAGCAGCTGCCGACAACGCGGCGTATGCGTAATAATTTATTTACAATGCATTTAATTTATGCCAAGCATTAATCATAAGCCAAAGACAAGGGGCTCTCGTCACGTAGCGAGCAACGCTAACAAGACGTGAATCTAAAAGAGAGAAGGAGTATGAAAGACAGACGGAGGGAGAGAGTGACAGAGTAAGACAAATGCATTTATTAACAATTTCTGTCATAAGTAAAATTTAAAAACAATGAGCAATAGGGAAAGTTGGTGGCTGTGGCTGCAGAGGGTGGGCGTGGCAGTTATAGACATGAGTGCATGTTGATGATGCCAGCAATTCCATAAATTACGAGGAAAGAGCTAGGCATGGGCTGCAAAGAGAAGAAGAGACAAACAGACTGAGAGTGAAGCAGCGAGGGTATTTGAGGCACATAAATCGCTACCGCCCGAAATTAGGCAACAAATTTACATGCAAAACGAGCTCGACACGCAGCTAAATCACCATCAACAACAACTACAGCCACAACAACAATGTCAGCAAGGTGCCTCCAAAAAGACAAACATTATAAAAAGAAGAAGAAGAAGTGGCATGGAAAAGTAAAGGCTCGAATATATTAAGAAGCCGCCAGCACTTTCGGCGACATTCCCCAAAAAAAGCTAAAGGAACAGCTTCAGTTTTAAGTATTAGTCACTTGGCAGATACCCTGCAATACATGTAGACAGCGGCTCAAACTACAGAGCTTCATTACTAAAGTAACTCTTATACATTTTTTCTTTCTGTTTCTGTACCGTGTATGCACATCTCGTATTTCATTAGGCTGGACAGAAAAAATATACGGCTCATTTATAAAAATCACATCTTAATAAAATAGGTGTTATATACTTTCTGTTTCTATACACTATATGCAAATCTCTTATTTCATTAGGCTCTTCAGCAATAATATACCCCTTCTACTCAATTTCAAATACAGGGTACTTAAAAAAAAAACACTTTTCCTTTTACAAGCGCATTTTCGACTGCGCCTTCTTCTCAGTTATTTAACATATTTTTCTCTTTGTTGCTGCTGTTGAAGTTAAGCCTTTGGGCCGCAATCCTTGTTCGGTCGCTGGTTGCTGGGTCGTACCATGGTCTGGAATGAATAATGCCCACTACTCACGCCAAATAATTATTTTCGCTTAGTGGCAAACAAAACTGCCAGCTGGCATGCGATTTTGTAGGCCATTTGACTAGCTACAGTTGATTTTATATTAGAGTTTCTGTTCTTATCGTGGAAGCCAAGTGATGGCCGTAGGTAGGGCTGGCTAAGTTCTCACACCCGCCAGCTTTTCAGTTCATTATGTGAAGTTTTTGGCTGCAGGGCAAACGGCAATAGCCCAAAATGCCACCACGTCGAAGGCAAAAGACTGAGGGTGATTTTTTATTTTTTTGCCTCTTCTTTTACAGTCATTTTCCACCCTCACAGAAAAAAGGTGTCGAGCAAAATTACGAAAAATTGCGAGCTATTGTTTTAAATGTTTTAAATATGCGCATTTGTTATATCGCCCTGCTAGCATGAAGCAAAAGCCAACAAATTTTAAACAAAGAAATTTTAATTAGTTTCTTTTTGCTTCACTTACGTTTTTCCATTAAGCAAACGATTGCTACGTTAGGTGCTTGTCAATAATAAACCAAACAATTATTATACCCTGAACCCATTCAAAATGGGAAATCAGGGTATAATGGTTTTGTGAAAAGTATGTAACAGGCAGAAGGAATCATCGCAGACCCGATAAAATATATATATTCTTGATCAGGGCAACGAGCTGAATCGTTATAGCCCTGTCCGTCTGTTTGTCCGTCCGTATGAGCAATAGGATCTCAGGAGATATAAGAGCTAGAGAGCTGAAATTTGGCATGCATACTCGTATATACCATAGCCAGTAAAAGTTTATCTTATTTTTTCGATAAGTCATCCGATATTTTTTTATCGAGAATAATCGAAAATTGACTTTTTTTTTAACCTAATTTGAACACTTTTAATTTAAATTGTATTGTTTAAATGGCTTAGTTATCAGCCTAACCATCAGTTTGGGTATCTTTTATTTTTATGTTTGTTTATATATACACTGCGCGTCATCAGGTTAGCGCCCCCCTTTACACTCAACCTCAAAGCTAAATAAAATCTAAACCAGCAGAGCTCCATCTTTGAAATTTTTTTACATTATACTCCATTTATTTCTCTTTAAAATACAAAAAGAATGGCTACTGTAACAATAAGGATTATTTTTTAATAATTTTTTTTGTAAAATGTACAAAAAACTTGTAACAAAAATTTGGTCATCAGATTAGCGCCCCCTGCGCTAAATTCAATTTATTTAAGTTAATTACCAAAAATAACACCTGTATTTTAAGCTATTGTTATTTTTAAGTAATATTAGTAGTGCGTAGTGCCGTTTTTTGTTTGAAATTACTTAAAAAATTCGATTAGGAATGGAATTATAAAGTTGTTCAATATTATTCAAGGATATGGTTGATTAAGCGTGTTCAGTACCTTCGATTAACTCTGTCATTGTACTATAATGCTTTCCGGACTCATATACTTTCCTGACCAACCATCCCCAGACGTTTCCAATGATATTAAGGTCGAGTGAGTATGGTGGCCACTCCATGAGATCAATTTTTTGGCCCTGAATCCAGGACTTCAGGGATCGGGCGGTCTGAATTGGGGCATTATCATGCTGGAAAATCTAATGCCGGTTTTCAGACAGGTTATAGAAATGCGGAACAGCAGTTTTAAATACGATATTATGGTCCTATGCGTTCATGCGCGATGTCAAAAATTGAAGCTTGCAAGTGCTGTAGTAAGATATTGATACCTACACAAATGCCACACCACCCCCCCGCCGCAGCGGCTTGGAAACCGTTCCAAATAATGTTCTTCTATGAGTAGGTCATGGATATAATAATTATATCCATCAGTTCCTTCCAAATTCAATTTTTCTCATCAGAAAAGACAACATGCTGCCATTGGGTAGACCACGTCATATTCGCCCGGCCAAAATTAATGCGTATTTCTTTTCTCAGCATATCGACTGGTGTCTTTTTTTTTACATTCTGTTTCTTTAAGTAATTAACTTTCTTAATTGCTCTTTAGACCGTTGATAAGCTCGTCCTAACACTGATTTTAACCCTAATCTTGGTGGTCGATTCGTGGGAATTCGAAGCTTCTCGAACTAATGCTCTTCTATTTCCTTCTGAAATCACTTGATTATTGCCGCTTATATAGTTTTTTCCATAGTTTTCCCTATTTGTAAGAAAATTGCCACTTAGTTTTCTGTTTTTTTCCTGATTTTTCAGCAATTTTATGGTTGCATAGTTTAGATTCAAAGTATGCCTCAATCTTTGATTTTCAACCAAAGATAAAACTGTTTCTTTACCCATACTATAAATATATTGAATACTTTGAGCTTCACAAAAAATTTGGTGAGTGTAATTGCCAAAATAAGCAAGATAATTACAATTGCATTTGGGGGCGCTAATCTGATGACGCAAAATAAGTGCACACATTTTTTGCGAAAATAGAGAAGGATAGAAAATAAAACATAACGGGTATTCACTCGCGCTTTTTTTTGGTATGAGAGACATCTCATATCATGATAATGAAATAAAAAAAAAAACCAAGAAGTTGTGTGCAATAGGCAAAGAGAAAAACGTAAAAGAAAATGAGTGTAAGGGGGGGCGCTAACCTGATGACGCGAAGTGTATATACACTGTTAACTTTAAACTATATATTTATATATGTATATGTATATAGGATATATTTTTTTAAAACAATTATAAACATCTTTATTAATAGCTTTTCCATTATTACAAGCTATTGACATCCGGTGATTGTAACGCAATTAGGTTAATATTAATGCTGAGTTAGTTTGTGTACTTTAACATGTATGTATATACATACATACGGGTAATAAAGCTCGTCAACAATTGTTCCTCAATTTATGTAAATAATTAATGTTAATTTATCAAAAATCTCTCGCATATCAGCTTTACACTTTGCTCAATTCGCATAAAGCAAATGTCATTAAATGCACACGCATGAATCTTTGATGCACTTGAATGCAAAAATCAATTATACGTAAAATCCAACAGCAGCAGAAGCAGCATCAGCAACAACTACAACAGTTACAATTTTAATAAAAAATATTTATCTTTTGAATTTTTATACTTATTTATTATTGTATTTTTGCAAGCCAACGCATTTCATCTGAAAGCACATTTTATTAATGCATCGCGGCATTAAAATTAATAATTATTTTAAGCCAGAAAAATAATGTAATCATTCAAGATACTGTAAAATGGAGCAGAAAGGGTTTGATTATACATATATATATATACATATATCTGTAAATATATTATATGTATTATATTAAGTTATTCTTAAAAAAAATATTAAATATTCATATTAAAATATTCAGATTCTTCTCACTACACACTACACTACACTCAGCAAAAATAAAATAATAATCTGAATATTTTAATATGAATCGAGAGAAAACTTTTGCTCGATTTTCTCTTATTAGAATATGAGGACTTTTTGAAATCATTTGACTGTAGTAGTATCCTAGAATAATGTGTAATGCGTGGCCTCTTGTGTTAAAACTTAATTGCTAGAACTTAGTTGAATGCGTCTTGAAAATTGAAATACTTAATAATTAATTATTTTTAAGCTTAAATTTGATGTTTTATTTTATTATTATTATATAAATGTACATAAACATATATGTAAATATGCGATAGTATTTCTCAAAACGCTTTAAGTTGAAGCTTGCCGGTTTATATTGTAGAACCGTAGTTCATATGATTAGTGTAGTCGGAACTGTGATATCAAAGTCTTTTATGAAAATAGTTCTTGGCCAGCGACGTGTGTGCAATTTCCGTTGCGGAAAGTCGTGCTAGCAGTGGTTGGACAAAGGAAACAGTCCAACAACTGTGCCGGGGTCATTCATCCTGCAAAGTGGCGACACGCCAAAGCGTTCTCCTGCCCAAATGACTAATGGCTCAGGGAAGACTGGCAGAGAGCTAGAGAGGGGAGTGTACTACTGCTACCCAAAAAGTGCTGCAGGGGAATAGCCTACCGACAATATGCAAAATTCGCAATTTGCCACGCCAGACGGTGGAGTGCGCCGACGACGACAACAGCACAGGACGACATCCTAGAGGCAGTTGTTTGCTAGCTGCTGCTGTTGGTTTCTGCCAGATAGCTCTGTCTCTCTCTATCACTGTCCTCCTCTCTCTAGCCCCTTATTCAACGTTTGACTATTTTTATGACCGAATTGCGTTTTATTGCTCAGCTGCTCGATTTGTAGTTGGCCGAATGTGGGACAAGCCGCATTGCTGTGGGCCCACGCTGCGTATGAGCAACGGGTCTAACTCTAACGTGGACTCTTCTTACTTGTCAGCTCGTTGGCTTCAATTGCTCGACATTCAAAATTAGTTGACATTTTCTGTTGCCCATTTTCAATTTTATTCCTATTTTCTGTTCGTTCATCCCTTATCGATTTTGGGGGATTCTTTTGGCGCATAGCAAATCGGTTCCTTAAGTTGGCCAGGCATCTACTTATTCGTGCATTCGATTTATGTGCCAAGGTGGCGAGGTGTGAGGCTTTGGCAAAACGCTTCAATTGATTTTGAACATTTATTGCTTCGGGCAATGCCAGTCGGCTTGGGAGACACGGTTACTGGAGCCAGACACTAGACCCAAATGCTGTCTGTCACTAGCAATGCACACTCCTCTCGCTTTCCCAAGCTCTGTCGTCCCCATTGAAAAGGTAGTCGCAATATTTTGTTGCTGTCGTTGCATATAAAATAGTTTTACTTTGTGCCCCATCGTTCAGTACCTGACAGTCCAAGAAATGTATAGAAATTCCTTACTTCTCTATTGTGGATCTGGTCAGCTATACACTTTTGCTCCATGTGTTTGTCTTTTGAATTTTTTTTTTTTTTTTTGGCGTGGACAATTTTATAGTACAATAAAATTGCACAAGTTTTAATCAATAGCTTGCATGTTTCGTAAACAGATGATCTCAGCTTTATTTTGTTATTATTAAAAGCTGAAGCTTTGAGCTTATATATATTTGCTCAAGCTGCTCAAGCTCGTACCTTAAGCTGGTCTTTACCTGTTTGAAATAGAGAAATGCTAATTAGACAAACAGCTTACAACAAAAACATGAAGAAAATGAATTGTGGTCTCAAAAGTCGAAGTGCTTTGAAAAAGTTATTAAAGTTTCAAAAATTTGACTATAAATAAGTTTTCAAGTCAACATTTAGCTTAAAACACAATGATACAATTGCTTATGATAGGTGAGGAAGTACAGAAGGCTCAACACACGTCAGAAGTTTTGATGCGGCTCAGCATGTTTGCTTTAAAGTCTTCACATGATTCTGCATTTGCACCAACAATTCACAACGGCTGGTTAACAAAGTTCTGCTTTCGTTATGCTCCTGCTGCCGAGCCTTACGCACCCGCCCTGATGCCGCCCACAACAATTCACATGTAGGTCAAACTTACCGAAGCAAAACCGTTGCATACCCGCGGGCTGTCAATTTATTTCTCGCGCTTGGCACATTTTCCTCACTGTTTTCTTTCTGTTAGTGTGTGTGTATGCATCTGTTTCTTCTCCCGTTTTCTTTTGTTTATGTTGATTCTCTGGTCGCTTCTCACGCGTAGCTCCAGTCACCGCATGGCACCAGCGAACGTTCCACCGTCCTTGAAATTTATGCGCTCGACGCAGGCGAGCAAGTTGTATCTCTGCGGGCGCATGGCATGTAAAGCTCTCATTATGATGCTCAACACACACACACACTGAACACACTCATTCGAGCAGATAAATGGCCATGCAAAACTAGAGCCACTTACGCCTCGTCCTGGCATTGGGCCAATGGGAAAGGCATTGTTATTCTGTTTCTTTTTTCTGTGTCTTTTTAGCCAAGTAAATTAGGTTCAGTGATAGCACAGCCACAGATCGGACCCTCTAGATAGTCAAGGGCAAGAACAAAGCCTTGCAAATCTCTCATCAGCGCTTGAAATACTATTTCGTGTATGTGTTGCTGTTGTTGTCGCTTGTCCATTTGCTTTACTATACAACTTTATCGATTTTGTCATAATCATCTTTTGGCTTGTTCGCGCGTATCTCCCGGCATGTCAATCAGCTTAAAATGGCTCCCGTCCAAGCCTGCCATTAAAAGCCGCCGTCGCAGCTGCTAAACGTTGCGTATACGTCGTGTCTGCAGTTTCTGTTGCTGCTCTCTCAAATATATTTTAACTCATAACTGGAATCGTCAATTTAATGACAGCTGCCACTGCGCTGCGTACCTCCTACGGAGTCATAAATTTTCATGATTTTCCAATGCAGTATACTCGAAGGGGCGGGGGCGTGGCGTAGGGAAAGTGCGTGGAATACGAATCGATTTTTATGCGAATTTAATAGCCCTGCAGTTGCAATGCAGAAAATTATTATAGCTAACGTGTCACAGGCTGCTGGGTATGTGTTTCTTTAGACTTTGGACCATTAAAAGTAAATTTAATAAAAAAATGGCAAGCTTTTGGAAAGTCAAAAAAAAAAAAAAAAAAAAAAAAGAATCTAAAAAGGAGACGCTAACATATTGACAAGCCACCATCAATCACGCTTGGCAGGCGCTTGTATGCGGGGGGCAACCACGAAAATTTATCAACAGGACCTGCACACAGAGCACGACAGGTAACAGGCAGCAGCAGGAGCAACAGCAGAGGTAATATAATCCAATTACTCAACAATGGCAAACAAGCAGTGCGTGGGCGTGGCAGCATGCGGAACGCTAATGGACACCATCAAGCCAGCAACAAAAGAAAACAGAGAGAGGGAAACAGTAGCTGCTGACTAAAAGGATATCACATGTCTAACGTTAAAGTTAAATAACCAAAGGCAATCAGCAGGCATCAATAGATACATGTTAAAGCCTCAGGCGTTTACTCTGGCAAGTATTTGCCTGTGCCTCTGCCTCTGCTTCTGTCGCTGTCTATGCTTTTTGTTATACCTAACTGGCATTTGATCATTAACTGGTAGTGGGTGCAAATCCTGTCAGCACCCAAATTGAAATTCATGCGCATTCGATGAATTTTTTGTGTGGTTTGCTCCCATTGTTATCCTGCATCTATATGTATGTATGTGTGCGCTTGTGGTCGCCTGCAGGACTTTTTTTTTGACGAAATTATCATTTTGTTGCCTCAATAAAATGACAAAGCAAACTAATATCGTACAGTCCTTCGCATAAGCTGGCTTAGGCCTGAAATTGAAAATGCTCACCCTTCACAATTTCCCCCTATGGGGGTTGTTTCTAAGCACTATGGGGGTTTGTTATGCTGATTGGATGTGCCCAACAGCCATGTCGTTGATGAGTTGAACTTCAATGTCTCTTACAGAAAAAACTTAAGGACTTTCTGCTACACAAAAGTATCCAGCTACACTTGGTAGAGGAACCCTTTTCTGTATATGATCCATCCATCAAATAACAATTATGTCGCTTCTGATCAAATATTTGTCATTGACACTCAAAAATCGTTTATGCAAATATGCCGTAGGACAGGACTGGAAAGATTTCATTAGGACGCTCAAAACGGACACACTTTATCTAAGGAATGACTCACTCTACGTACACAAACACGGGGAGAAACTAATTTCAATATCAAAACCACTTGAGGATACACTGCATTAATATTCACTTTTCGGCTGGTTGACTTGAATGTGCGGGGCGTGGCGTTTGTTGATAGAGCTACTGCAAAAAGAGGCGACAAATTGAGCAGCCGCAAAGTCCAGCAGCCCAGAACAAATTCCGCACACACACGTACATTTCAACTTCCACATACACATACACGCATACAGACAAGGGCCAAAGGGTCAATTTGCTGCGCATCAAAAGGCCAAGCGTTTGAGCTTAAAATAGTTGAAACCCCATGCACAGGCGACAAGTTTATTAACTTGTGTTTAGTGTTGTGCAGTGAGCATATTTATAAACGCATTAAGTATGCTTCACTTGAGCAAATATTTTAAACGGACTTTGTTTTGCTCTTACTTATTTACTTTTTTTTTTTTTGCTAACGTGTTAAGTGCTGTCTGGCACTTGGCTGAGCTTTAAGTATTTCATTTGCTAGTCAGTTAAGATATGAGAGGCGTAAGAGATGGGAAAGGTCTTGCTTCATACTGTTGTTGGTAATATATTCCAGAAGTATTCGTATAAGCGTATGGTGGATTTATCAGCAAATTTATTAGCAAATAAAGTCATTGTGCACTACTGTTAAACTCCCGCTTCATTAGGATAATTTCTTATTGTCTTGCTAATTTCGTACACATAAAAACGTATCTGGGTTCTTCGCAGTGTAACTGGTGAAAAATTAAAAAAAAAAAATGCACATGGGCAAAGAGCAAAATTATGGCAGAAAAACTTCAGAAGACACGATACCTTTGGACCTTGTCCGTTGTGTGTAAGGTGAGTGTGTGATAGCGGTGTGTTGACACCAATTGGCCGACACATTGTTGAGTAGAATGGGGCTGTGTGGGCTGGCGGCTGTTAGATTCGTCAGGAACCACTGATAACTGTCAAGCAACAACTTCTCAGTTGAGTTAAGTTAGAAAGGGGGCGTGCACTTCAACATGATTCCTGAGTGTAATTGTCAATTGCACAAAGCAGGTTGGCAACACTTTTTGGTCCGCATTAGCTTATTTAAGCTGAACTGAAGCGCTTAAACGGCATTTAAGCAGCTTTATGACTGCAACGATTTGTAAAAGTTCAGCTTGAACTCCCAAGTTATTTATGCAAATGACTTGCAGTGGTTGAGCGAGGGAGAACTTAAACTTCTTTCATGTTTTCTAATTAAGTTGGTAATTTAAAAGTGTCGAGCGTGTTGGTAAAGCAACTTTCAGCCAGATTTGCTTCAATGCAACTGCTGCTGTGGCAGCTTGTGGCTTACAATTTGGCAGGGCAAAGTTTTCATTTGTTGCAACAGCAGCAGCAGACACCCGCAACAAACACTGGGGAAAACGGGAAAGTGGAAAAAATATAAAATGAAAAGAAAAAGCGGAAATGTTAACAACTACTTTGACATTTGCTCTGCGTCCATTCGCCATCCGCATTTCCATTTCCATTTGCAGTTACATTTGTATTTGAGTTTGTGTTTTGCTTAAGCCAAGTGGAAATTGCATAAGTGCCCAGCACGACGAACGATAAAATGCCAAGCCAACTAAATGAAACGGCACTTATATAAAAAACCATGACCTGCAGGTGTGCGTATATAGGTTGTCTGTGTGTGTCGAAATCAAACTTGGACCTTAAATTAATATCCTTGCATTAGAGACTATTATGAGAAATTTCACACTGCAGCCAAAAAGCTGTGGTTGAGCTTAAGGGTCAACTGTCGTAGAAAAGCAATGCACACGCATACACACACACACTCCCACACACGCATGCACACAACAAGTACAAATGCAACAAGAACTGTGTGTCAGTTGAGCCAAAAGCTTGGCCTCCGTAACGAGGCGTAGAGAATAACAAAAACACAACGAGCGACGAGAGTGTAAAATATGGCTTAAGAAAATTTCATTTTCATAATAAAGACTGATAGATGCTCTACTGATAAGGGGTATTTCGGGGGAAGTGTTTGAAAATAATTCCACTTTAAAGGGAAAGTTACTGATGACTAATTTTATAGACAAGATATTAGGCACAATGTACACAATAAAAGACATTGCCAACAACCCAGTCAAGAGTACTTAAAAGGCGATAAAAATCTTTAGCATATTTTGCAGCGCATGCCTCTTGCATGTGAGAGCACAGAGACCACAACAACAATGTGACTTAAATTTGTTGTTACATTCGTTATTTTCTTCCGGAAGAGAAGGAGCATACGAGAGAAAGATGTAGAACACCCTACATAGTTGGCAACTCAACTGCATTCAAAGTGCATAAGTCAGTTCGTGAGGCAATGCGAGAAACACAAAAAGCTCAAATAGTCCAAAAAGTTGTTTTGTTAGTCCAATGGGCTTTTGGTTTGAGAGGATTAGGCGCTATAAGCCCCAAAACCCTGTGAGGAGTGAAGTTGACTTTTTGGCAGTTGCTCACCAGAAATAAAAGGCAATTTATTTGCTTCTATGCATAACTTTCAAGTAACGCAAAAACACTTTAAAGAGTGGAAATAAAAAAAAACGCTTTGAGCGACTTTAGTAGTAGATGAACCCCCGAGCTTGCACTCGACGTTGGTTTGATTTGCCTCTGTCCATTCTCTCACCTCTTGCCCTCTTCGGTTACCTTCTTGCATTTTATCTATATCTCTCCCAATCTTCTCTTCTCCCTTCGCAAGTCGGTTCCATTCCTGCATTTTATCTATATTGTCTCTGGCCTCTGCCTTTATTGTCTCTATTCGGACTTATATTTTCTCTGCTCTGACTTTCTCTTTTTCTATCTTTCTCTCCATCAGTCTATCTCTCGTCCTTAATAGCCTTGAGGTATGCATTAATTACTGCGACCATAAAAAGCGTCTCGACCAGCCCGGCTAGGGCGGCGTGCGAACTGCATAGGATCAGCGCAAGTTCCTTAGACCTTTTACTTTGTATAACATTTTGCATTTTACGGCTGAAGAGACTATTGTATTCTCGCACATTGCTGCTGCCCAGTTCTGCTTGCTACAGTACCCTTTGCTTCTCTTTCATTGTTTTTCATTGTAATCAACAAAATTTAGCTGCTCCGCATATATCTCTCAAAGGCTTGGTTGTTTGGTTTGCTTTTTGGTTCTCAATCAAGAAATGTAAAAGTTTTATACTGTGTAAATGAAAATATGAATAAAATGCCTAAAATACTCAACTCTCCGATTTTTGTAGTGTCTGCTGCTTTTAGTGCTACACTCATTTTTTACCCAGTCTTACTTAGTTTTCCCTCCTATCACGTAAATTCTTAAAGCAACAATTTAAGAGAGTAAAATTGTTGCTTTAAGAATTTACCTGCTACCAATTGACAGACTCATGTTGAAAGCTCATTTGTTTTATGTCAGCGCCTAGGCAGACATACGCGTACTGCCAGCCGCATGCAACACCGACAGCCCCATGTTACCTCCTGTTATCCGTGGCCTCCTGCCAACGCTCGATTTACGCTCTCCCCTGCTCTAGTTATTTGACACGCTTTTCAAGCTAAATACAAAAAAGGCTAGACCACTTCTTGCTGTTGCCGCATTCATTACATTGTTTGCTGTTGCTGCTGCTGTTGCCTTTGCTGCCTTCTCGCGCCTCTTTATCAGTGGCCACACACAGA